CGGGGAATAAACTGCGCCTGCATACAGTTGGGTATTTTATAGTCATTCTTGTGGGCCGCCTGATGTGCCTGACATTTCGAAGTTCACTGACGTAATTATACACTGACCTACGGTTCGAGCTGTTTTCTTAGGGTATTCTGTTTCTGTGCAGCATAGTTTACTAGGGAAATTTGAGTGCAGTGGTTACGTGGTGTTATCTAGGCATCCGTATGTTGGAGAGAACCTACACACTTGTCATGCCGCGTTGCGTATTAATGATAAGTCACTCTTCCTGGGTGCCTATAGGGTATCCTTGATTTAATATGGCTGATATATTTCCGCGTAGTACTCCTTACGAAGACATCCGCTCCTGGATACTTCAAAATATTCCTTTCTAAAGTACCTTTCATCAGTCCGGTAGGCCTGGCGTTAATTTTTATAAAGGCGACCTCCGGAGGATCTTCATCAAGGAACGACTGATCTGTGACACTGACAAGATTCAACCACAGGTCACGTTGAGTAGTGGTACATGTCGCTTCAACGTTATCATTTCTATACTCCACATAGCAACTGACGACAAATCTCAGGACTGCATAATCTTTGCAGACCGTAAGGCACTCAGGATACCGTAAGTACATGAACCATATAATCTTTATTGATGTGGTGCGGCTTTTAAATTAGACGTTGCCTTTTCGCCGAACATCACTTTATATACTGCCAGTTATGGGTATTCCATTTTGCAAGAATAAGCTAACAGATATTTTCTTAAATTAACGTCCAAACTTATCTAGACCAATCTGCTCAATCCACCTTTTAAATATAAAAGCTGAGATATTGCACAAATCCCCGAGCTAGCGTCTTTGGATACAAAGTCTTAAGTCAACTGTAATGAGTTATGCAGAAATGTTTTAATGGAAATTTGTCCGTTTGAATGGACGCAATCCCGAAGATATAGTGAAGCGCATGCGATCGTTGCTTGCTCGAGTTATGACTACACCCTTTTCATTTGTCCTCCCATTTGTAAACTTAGCATTTTTGATGGTGCTTGTTTTGTAAATTTACCGTTGCAAGGGTAAAATGCTGGCAGTGCACCCATTTGGATACATACATATTATGCTGGTCTGGCGCAAGGATCAGAAAAGACGGCTGGCTACTTGTTCTGAACTTAAGGGCCGAAAGATGTGGTTGTAAAGTAGAACACCGGAGTTCTGATCCCGCTTGTTGGCAGTGAATTGTCTTACGTTCGTAACAGGTGTTCGCGAAGTGTGTGTACTGAAATCACCCACGATGAGGATATCAGTAAAGTTGCGGTTAACTGCACGTCGCAGTGCAAGCAGTTGATGGTTTTTCATTTCTACGGCTCTGATGTGCACAAAGGCTGTAGAATAGGTGTAGCTACCTTTTGACTGTAACAAATATCAAGAAGAATCAGGAAGCAGTTTAGTTCGATCCCCCTTGGATCGCACTGCAGCTTATTGCTATACAAAGACCACTCCGCCTCCTTCGCAGAATCTGTCATACCTGATGATCAACATGATGGTAGCTAGAATTCGGTGTCACTCCTAGTACAGTGCAATCATGTCTTAGTAGCGGGGATGATCTCACGCATACAAGTCGTATGGTTTTCCTTCAGTTATGCCAACATGGTGAGGAACTCTTGAGGATTGATGTACAACCATATGACCTTTCCGGATTCCACAATCACACCGGATGTTAAATTAGCCAAAGGTGAGCACTTACCGACCGGCGAATGGTCAGCCACCACTAGTTTTATCATGAAATACGGTTATCTCGTCTGCAATCTGCTTTCTCATTGGCTAAACTTGATTTACATTGGTGTAGCCTAGTGGCCAATTTGGAATCCTGTGCATTAATGGGAGATATGACTGAGCAGACGGTCAGGTATCTGAATTTTTCTCGGCTGCTGCAACATTTCGCCGGAGTTCGGACAACAGTCTTTTCTGATGGTTGAACCATATAATTCACATTTCCAACATAAGTTGCTTAAATTACATAGCAGCTTCTACTACAATCAAAAGCACGGCGCATGATTCGGTGAGACAGGCGACATTTCGATTGCTTGTACTATAGCAATGCAAGCGAAAATCTTCTTGAACCCATGATTTTCAACTTCTTGTCTATCGAAGGATGAAGACTTAGGCTTACAATAGATGTTGAATATGTTTCAGCAAACTTACCTACTACATTCTTCAGATTTGTTTCTTTTTAAAGTTCCTTTATTTCAGGAGACACATAGAAAGATGCGTATCCCGTGGGCTCTGTGCTCCTGACAGACTGCGGAGATCAACAAGTTTTATACACCAGTAGTATGTTTTAGTTACTCGAATAAGTCAAGTTCCGCCACGTCACCTTGAGTTCAGGTGACGCGTAACTGGTACAAACTTTATGGGTTTGACTTGATATTCCGGAGGGTACAATGAGTTCCAGGTTTCAAAGTTCCTGGACAGCTTACCTCCTTGTTATGGCAAAAGGCATGACAGAATGATGATGTGCACAGCAGTAACGGCACTAGTGTTAGGACTCTGGGTTGCTGCAATGTAAAGTAACTGGCCGCTGATCTTGACGTTCTTCCTAGTGGTGTTTGAGTTATATGATTATTTTGTGCTGGCATTCGTTTTGCTTGCAAGTATGGCAAACAAAAATATGTATATTGAATCCCAGGAGAAAGTTGTGACAATCGATGCATACCTGACTGCGGCCGCGGGTAATTCGGGATGGATGCGAGGTATTAAATTTGCGTATGAACGTACAATTTCGCTGCTACTATCCTATGGAGTCTAGAAGCTGTTGAGCAATGCAATAACTGTCTGACATAGTTTTATGTAGCATTCGACTGTCGTTACCATGAGTACAACTTGCTAGCGGAGTCACGTCTGTTTGCGTCTGCATTGTACGAAAGTTTGAAAAGAAACCAGGGATGTGAGCGTTTCCACTCAGAGTTCTAAATAAGCATTAGTAAACAACAAAACGCTTGGAAATTTTAGGCAAATGCGTTTGCACCGGGATCAAAACAACAACGCCGGTACTGGATAACGGTAGTATTTACAAAGAATTAGAGACAAAATAGTACAATATCTCAACAATATGTGCTTTCAGCACAATGGTGTCAACAACTTTAATTCAATCAATAGCCCGACAAATATGGCTTAAAGTCATAAGTGGAACAAACTAGCGACGTCTCTGTGCGCCGCGGCTTATCCGAACACTGAATTAAGGTAACTGAGGAATCAGTAGGGATGCGTCACAAGCTTGTGGGGATTGATGTCTGCGTGCTACGCATAGTGGTGATCTGATATTGTGGGTATTCAACTACATAGAGAAATGGGGAAGGAAAACTATAACCTGCACGAACGAAATAGTTTCCATGTGTGACCTCACCCACATCTACATTGCAATATTCTGAGGTCACTGTTGTTGGGAGGTAATATGAGCCACGCTTATGGCGCGTCAATGTACCAACCTGGTTTACCCATCAGTGTTCAAATGGCGCAAAGCGATAGATCTTAAAACACTCCGAAGTACCTGTAAGACATTGGATGGTACTATCTGAAGCGATAATGAACTTGTTCAGAAGTTGAACCCAGGTCCACTTGCGAGCGGTCAAATGCAAGGAGAAATTTTCATATTGCAATTGAACATAGAATTCAGCTGATATCGGACTACAGAATCTGGATTGAGAGCCAGATCACACGAAGTGGGGGTTTAAGATAAAGAACAGGGTTAGGTAAAAGGTATTGGGAATCACAGCGAGAAACTCATTAAACGAGGCGAAGACATCACAGGATAGGGCATTACGGATACTTCTACAGCTATTGTGCAACTCTTTTTACCTGACGGCCGCTAAATATCTAACGTTTACCACTTTAAAACGAAGCACTCCTCGCCTTCACGCACCAGTTGTCTTCTGCTGCTAACCGGTTTTACCACTGGGTTGAGATGATATTCCACTTGACTAGTGTAATAGCTGAACAGTCTACCCGAGAGCAAAGGATGTTACGTGAGCTGTTCGGTTGATCATCTCACGCTGTGTATGATAGCACATTTAAGGTGTAAGTAGGATGAGCAAGACGAACGAGCCAATCCTGACTTAACTGCTTTGGTACAGTTTGTGGAGATGCATATACCATTTTCCTAATGCCAACTAGAGGTAGAAATTGCTAACTCTACCCCAGTTTTTATAACCTTCATGGATTGCTTACAGCTATTGGACTGACAATGCCCTTAACGGTCAAGTGAGCACTAAGCTTCAGTTGCTTTTTCTGGGATGACAGGGGAAGTCGGTTAGGTGCGACACAGACGCACAAGTAAGCGACATTGCAAAGCATGCAGCCGCAATAGCAGTAGTTAGACTGCAGGGGAAATACACGCAGTGGGATATAATCTTAGGTACATAAAAACAAAGCGACATGTAGCCACAGTATACAGTGGTATACAGCACTGAGTTTGGGCTTATTCGTGAGCCAAGGGGCGATGGGATGACACGCATAGGTCTTAGCACCGGAACCGTCGAGTTATGTGACGTCATAAGTCGCTGACCTAGAAAGATACGTCACGTTAGGTAGCACTGGACGATTCCAATTCATTGAGTGTGCTTCCGGCAAGGTGGCACGATATTCGTATAAATAAATCGGTTCATGTATAAGGGCAAAAGTACTCACAACATATTGTTTTGCTAATTATCGCATTCTGTTAATCCTCGGATTGGGGGATGCCAATGCTCTATTTTATTCGCCATGTAATTTCTAACTGCTAGTAGTAAATCTCTGTGCGACTTTAATCGCGATGCAGCATTATAGGCATACCCACAAGTAAAGTTCAACACTTACAGAACTTGGTATTTGATCACAGAATAAATACTTGTTTGCTTTGAAAATGCGATCGAAATGGACTATCATGACTTGAGGCAGCGCCACAAGCTGCTTTTATGATACACCGAAAGCTTATTTTGTCTCGTTCGCTCCGGTGACACCTTGTTTCCGTCTTCCTCTTCTCTCTTCTAGGCTGTGTTCGACTGTGTAGTCAGCTCTCTCAAGAACGTTTGCATAATTCTGGTCGTTTACCTCCTATTCATGTTTATTTTCTCCGTTGTGGCGGTACAGCTCTTCCAAGGCAAATTCTTCTACTGTAACGACTTGTCCAAATTGACCAGGGAAGAGTGCCAGTGAGTATGAGATATTTCACTGACTTTTCCCACCGACAGTGACTTTGTTTTGTCCAAACGTTCACACAAAACTGTTGTGGGCATAGCCTTCGAGATTAGAATGTGGCACGCCACTTCCTAAAATAAATCAGAAGGAATGTTAAACAAACACAGCGTGTTAACTTTATGCACGCAGAACTTTAACAAGATTATTCATTACATTTTCCACTCTTTCCGATTGAGTGAACATTCACGTATCACGTTCATCCCTCGCAAATAAATCAAACAAATTGTTGTTTGAAACTTATCGAACAAAGTTGTCTTTAGTAACAATCTTGCCGGACGAATACAGGCCATATTTTCTGTACGACACCATGAATATTGACTCATTCAATTCAAACTGAGCCATTTGTCAAGTTCTGAATGACACATATAGCCGTTCACTTAGAAACTTGGTTGTATTTTAGGCAACGATGTGTTATTCCTTACCCACAACAAATTGCACACAGGTCATCGAAGCTTTGCAATGGAAAGCATTTGTTAGCTTTGACTTAATAAACGTGATTTAATTCTCCAGGATTATTTTACCGTTTTGCACATAGCCGAACAACAATTCCGGTATTCCTCGGCTCTTTACACCCCATTTAAAACCGGCTTTGGAACATAACCGACGGAGAGAACTTGGGAAAATAATCTAATTTCTAGTCGACACCCGAACACACCTGTTTGAATGGAGTAGAGATACGATGAATATTCTCACTCGATTTTTGACGAATGAGTAGGTCATTGTGGCAGTATTACTGGTAATACTTGTCGCAAGATAGTATAAGAGAGATTTGCGCTCCTTGTGTCCAAACAAGTTTGTTTTGTATACTCTGTACAAACTACCCCATGTTCAACTAATTCGGGCACGAAAATCTGCTTTTTTTCGCACCGCCGGCAGGTTTGTAGATTGCTGCTATCTGTTTCCATTGGGCATCTACCCGTTTGATGATGTGATAATCTTTAGTGAAAACTGTTCACTCACAACTTGACATCAACACTGCACATGGGGATTTCTTTCGCACTTTGCATCTACTAAATTATACCCCGGGTTACCTCTGACATATCTCATTTTATTTCATCATAGTGGTTACTACTTTGCCTACGATGAAGGTCCAGTACCCGTGGTTCGCGCTCGTGTATGGAACTCACGTGACTTCAACTATGACAACGTCATCGCCGCCATGCTCACCTTGTATACCGTCACAACCGGTGAAGGTTGGCCGGAGTAAGTTGATTCAGTCTGCGGCGTTTATGAGTCCATCACTTCGAACTACTGTAGCCAAGACCTTAGAATTGCAATCAACTGAGCAAGGTAGTCGCAGTAGGGAATAGGGTTGAGACAGCATCGGTGTTTCGGCTAGCTTGGACAGAAAATTTTTGACGCAACACTGAACTCACATGCTCGTTGGTCCAAAGTGAGTCAGCATCTATTCGAAATTCGTTGGTTTCACTCTGATGATGTTCCAAGTAGCTGATTTCTGCTTGCATCTATGCTATCATGAATATTCCGATGGACCTAAACAATTCAAAAAACTGGTCTCTAAGACTGCAGTACCCAGAAGATAAGTGAAGGACAATGGTTGCCCGTGACCCATCCAATCATGTTAAAAGACAATGTAACGAAAGGGAAAAATTTGTTATCACTTTTAAGTGAGCTACTTAGAAAACTTAGGTTATTAGTCGCCATTCCGTTTTTCCCGAAAAGCGACTGTCGTTTGACTCAATATGGTTAGTCATCGCTGGTTTTCACAATACTTACTGGTCGATAGGTCTTAGGCCTTCTACGGAGACCATGCAAGAAACCAAAAATTTGGTACGGTACATACTTTAAGGTGGCTTCCAGCTCCGCCAGAGCAACAAATATCATGGGGCTAACGAACACCTCAAATTTGTCCACTGAAGTCATCATACTTTAGGTACATGGTATCTTGAATAAAGCAGCGAACAGGGTTTTATTGAATGTTTCAGTCACTACGGCTACTAATAATAATATCAGTAATAGTTTACCATTTATTCGTCGTGGGACACGTTTATAGCGGCTAGTCAGACACCAATATCAGTTTTCAGGGACTCAGAAATGACCTGGTGGTTTCTGTGCGGGTGCCGACATTTGCGTGTGCACAGTTGGCGACTAAGATGTTAGTGGTTAGCAAGCTTTGGTCGGGTACTTCGCGTTGGAACCAGCTTTACGCTTTCCAACAGCGGGCATAGTTGACCAGTGAGTCATCAATTTAGACAATTCACCGACCTTAATTATCTCGCTAGGATAGTTAAGCACATTGCTGCGAGCACAGGTAAGGAAACAGTAAATCCTCGAACCTTGTTAATTGGCTGATAAAATAGGAAGATTTAAGGCAGTAAGTTGAAGTTACTGAAAGAAGGGAATGGAATTAGGCTTGGGAGGAGATTCGCCACTGTGCATTTGAGACTGTCAAGCAGTCATCGCTTCTGGAAACTAGGTACGTTGGTATAGTGACCTTTCGAATTTTACTGCTGACCGGTTTCACCTAAACAAGAACAGCTGTTATATCAACTCTTGAATTTGATCTGTCGAAGCATCTCTCCTATTTCTTTTGTAGTATCCTGAAAAATTCCATGGATGCCACTGAAACAAATTTCGGTCCAAAAGAGGATTACGGGCAGCAGATGGCCATATTTTACATAATCTTTTTTATCGTATTTCCCTTTTTCTTTGTCAACATCTTCGTCGCTCTTATTATTATTACTTTTCAAGAACAAGGAGAAAACGAGTTGGTTGATCATGAATTAGACAAGAACCAGGTCAGTCCTTCATTATAACTACCGCTGTGCATCAGTTTATCAGTGAAATGCCACCCCGTAAGATGTTAAGTACGAGACTGTGAGACTGTATTTAAGAGCAAGTAGAAAGGTTTCTGTACAACTCTATCGAATTACGAAAAATCAAAAACATTTAGTTGTGAATCATCAGCGGTTGTCTGGTCCGTTAATCGTGTATCCTTGTTCGGTTAGGAATTTGTATTGGTGTCATTATTTCCGGGCATACGATGTCTTCTTTTGGCATTGTATGTGCATCGTTTCACAAAAGCACAGGTCTTCAAAACAATCTTGGATACAGGTTTTAAAACACTGCACAGAATCGGCCTCTATTAATCCTTCTGGTAGTGTATTCCATAAGTTTACGATTCTTCGTTCGATACAAAGCTGATGTGATACTTTGTTCATGCTGGGGACCCTGAAATGGTAACGGTGTCCTCGGGTGTTACAGGGTTCCGTAGGTGAAATATTGGCCGCAGTATGGGGAAGTGATTCAAGTGTGCTATTCGATGGATCATAATAAGGTCAATTCTTACTCGGCGGTAGGATAGTGTGTAGAGTCCGAGCCTTTCACAACCTTTTTTATACGGAGGCTTTCATAGACTCGATATCATTCTAGTTGCGATATGCTGCAGTTTCTCCAGCTTTTCAGTTTCCCACTGGGTTATCGGATGGTAAGCTGGGGCACCGTATTCAAGGATTGGTCTAATGAGCGAGGTGAATAGACGAGGGACGGTTTCTTCGGACCATGTGGAGAAACTGCGTCTTAATGCCCAGAGCATAGGAAGTCCCGCACGGTACAATTTCTCTGTATTTTCTAGTGATCTCATATCATGTCGCGAGAGAACTCCTGTCTCTGGCAGATGTGTTGGGGTGGAGCAACTGGCCGTCCAAGGTGTATGATCCAGTGGCTGGACGTCTGGTGATACTGATGAACTCCGAGTGCTTGCGTTAAGAGGGAGTTGCATTTCAGTGGACCACGTTGACAGTCGCTCTAAGTCATGCTGGAGGCGAGCGCAGTCGTCCTGGTTCTCAATGATCCTCCAGATTTTCAAATCATCTGCAAACATGGCACATGGTGACTGGAGCTGCTGCGGAAGATCGTTGATATGAATAAGAAATAATACTGGCCCAAGTACAGTTCCTTGAGGCACGCCACTGATAGATGGGAACCAGTCTGTCAGATAGTCATTGACCTGTACTCTAAACCTTCGTCCCACAATAAATTCTTGTATCCACTGAAGTAACGTGCCACCGATTACGTATGTCCTCAGTTTACGAAGGAGTACCTCGTGGTTCACTCTGTCAAACACCTTACTAAAGTCGATGTACACCACGTCAACATCCTTCTGTTCATTGAGAGCTCGTACCCACTGGTGGCTTGCGTACATCAAGTTGCTGATGCAGGATCGCCCTTTCGTAAAGCGTTGCACTGGCGTCAATACGTCCATCGATTCGAAGAACGACAGCAGACACTTTTCCACAACCTTCTCGAGAACTTTGGATATTACCGAAGTCAAACAGATCGGTCTATAGTTCTCTGTTTTACTCGGATAACAACCCTTTAGAAGCGGTCTCGCTATCGAGCATTTCCAGTCGTTGGGGACAGATCCCTCAGAGATTGATTTATTGAATGGGTTTGTCACAGCTGGTGAGATGATATTCGATAGGGAGTTGAGTATTAGTGGGTGAAGTCCGTCTGGTCCCGAGGGGCTTTGCACCATCGAGGTTGACGATTAGCTGATACACTTCGACTGCATCACATTGTAGCCTGTCGAGCAAGACTGACGCAACCTATGCCGGTACTAGAACAGTCGCCGGTTTACTGGAAAATACGGTGAGGAAGTGCGTAGCCAAGGCGTCCGCGCGCTCCGCACTTGAAATGAGCGTCTGTCCGTCCATGCTCTCTAAGACCGGTAGGTCGCGCCCAAGTTACTGTTGACGTTTCAAATAGGCCAATATTCTTTTGCGTGCAGTTTTGACCGAGGATGCTAGCTCCTCCTTGAACTGCTGGCGTTTCTTGATCCTTGCGGCGTTACATAAGTTACGCTGTCTCTTGTACACCATGTAATCTTCATCACAACCCGAGCTGACGTATCTATCCCAAAGTTTGCGACGCCGTCGCGCTAACTGTCTATATTCCGTATCAAACCAATGCGGTTTGACAGGTCCGATTTTTGAATACTTAAGGGGAACGAACCGAGTACACAGAGAGTTAAGCTTTCCCTTCATTAATGATCAACAGGCCTTAAGCGACGCATGCTATGGTAGGGTGCAATCAGTCTGACTTGCAGCCCGTTGAAGTCCGTCTTCCAATAGTTGAATATCGGCTTCCGTTGATTGTGATATGCTAAGGACAATTCGAATTTTGCCACAATGGAGCAGTGGTCACTGTCCGCCAGAGCTTCGAGGACTCTGATCTCTTTTAGCTCCTGCTCGCAGCTCGTAAACATTAGGTTCAGACAAGTTGCTGAGTGCGTATTTACGCGAGTCGGTTGAATGACATGTTGCGTTGCCCCGATTTCAATAGTCATTTTAGCGAATTGAGCCTCAACGGGAAAAAGTCGAACCTCTGGCCAAAATATCTTAGGTCAATTTAGATCCGTCATCAATGAGAACTGAGGGCGGCTCATGTGCTTCTGTACATGTGGTAGCCAATCGCAACAATAGTTTAATGGGCTCCGGTATATAACCCCCACTATGAGTTCTGCGCGCCTGAGGCGGATTACGCACCACAATTGCTCGCATAAACTCCTCGCTCCGATAGGTGCTGGTAAATTTGCACTGGTGTCGCCAAACGACGTTGGCCCTGTCCTACTCTTTTTCCTGCACCCACAATTATTTGTTGGGTTGAGTCGTCACACCTAGACTTAGCCAGACACAGCCACCACACCTCCAGGGGTTCAGGTGCACCTAGTGATTCGCCGACATTCTAACCCCACAATGGCCTGTATATTAACTAGCCTTTATACTCATCCAAAACTTGCGTTGTTTGTGAAAAACCTGCATCGTTCCCCTGGCTGATATTCCGCTGGCGCGTAACCTATATTTTTGAGACCTTCTGTTAGGACTCCATAAACGACCGTAGCCAATTGCCCTTTGATTCTGCCCCTATGGTATTACCTGCAGCATAGTTCTGAGCGCCCTTTCTCGTATCATGTCCGTCCCCCGTTTTCCAAGCGGAGGGATTATAACCATATCCATTGAATGTATGTTGTGACATCCACTTTTCCAAATCCATTGCCCTCACAAAGTAGTGATACTATTAACATGGTTGTGTGTGGATTAACCCATGAAAACTGGACACAGGGATACAGGCACTGTGTTGAGTTTGTGTGATCCCATACTGTAATGTCTTGAATATTTATAAAATATACTTCCCCATTGCAAGGGCGATCTATCGCATCCGCTAGAGATTCTTTTGCCGAGTTACAAACATGTATAGCAAAAATGCTTCAATCAACAGCTGCGCTAATGCTGTTGCATCAGCCGTTGCATATATCGTATCTCCTGCTCTTTGGTGTTGATCGCATCTACCCTTATCTTTCCGGTTTCTACTGAATCATTGATAATTCCGCATTCATTATTTTGACAACAAGGAAAAAAGTACCTTCTCTGTCTGATCCCCCTCCCCACTTAGAAACAATGTATGGAGTTTGCTATCAATGCCAAACCTCTGTGCCGCTATATGCCAAGCAATCTGAATTCTGTCAAATATCGAATTTGGCGATTGGTCGTTTCAAGTCCCTTCGAATACTACATTATGATGATGATCGCTTTGAACACATTAATTTTGATGATGAAGGTTAGTCAGTAGCAATCTGTGTAGAAACATGCTTCATGTCAGCCGGACAAGCACTAATTTACTTGTGCCTCAAGCTCAAGATATCTACGGAACAGTACTTATGACCCGATTGAACAAGCTCAGATAGCCTGACTATGTATTCCTTGGCGTTGAATCTAAATCATGTTCTAACTGGGAATCTAGATAGTTTGCAATCTTATTTAGATTATGCTATACAACCACACATTTGTGTACAAAGGGCGATGGTGCAGCGGGTTATCAAGTCAAGCCAAGTTAATTCACAATAGACTTTGGGTACCTAGATGGGTGAATTTCCGACATCTGACCTTGTGGACTGCGGCTGTGTCAAAGTAAAAAACGAAAATTTTATAGAAATAAGAACTTTTATATAGCTTTCACTCAATCAAATGGTCGCGTATCACTTCAGCGACTTTGTCAGGTTGATAAATGGGCGTGACGGTTGAAACAGTTCGGACCTATACCACAATGCAATACGAGAAAATAGAGCTGCACATCAAGAGTGCGCAGTGACTGAACCGTAAAGGAAAACCTATTCCGTGCGGCAAGACCTTTACTGATAAATAAAACCAACTGGACGATCTCTAGCTCATCCGCTGCACTTAACTATAAGCTTTATCTTCCGCATACGTAAGATGCGCTCCGTCTGAAGAAGGACAGAGAAATGACTGTGGAACAAAGGAGTCGATGAAGTGAAAAACACATTCATTGATGGCGTGAGCAAAATATGTTGAGTTTGGTGGCACAAAAAATATCCTACACCTTTCCCAAATAACTTCACAAACATTCTTGGATAAAGTTTGGGATAGAAGGACACCAAGATGTTTGATGCCGAACGGACAAGGTATAGCGTTTTTGTTCGTCGCAATCAGCCGACAATTCAGATATGTCGACCAGCTGTCCGGAAAAGCACCAGACGGCCGTTTCGTCCTATTGGGGCTCATCAGTGGTGCGCATCCTTCGATCCTCTGCGGTGGATCGAACCCATGACTGCTAGTGGCTCTTGCCAACTAGCCCGCAGCTTATGCAACTGCGCCATGGAGGACGGTATCTGACTATCGTGAACTGTTAGCTAAATGCGATATAGCCCGACGCATCCTCCACTGCCATGCAGGTACCTGCCATGCAGATGACAGCGGTCGGCCTTCCGGCGTCAGGACTTCCCGGTTACGGCAGCTATGAATCGACATAGCATTTTGTGGAATCCATCTGGTGCTTTTCCGGACAGCTGGTCGACATATTTGAATTGTCGGCTGATTGCGACGAACAAAAATACGCACCAAAATCCTTCCATTCATAAGTAATACCTATTCGCCCGCACGGATTTCACAAAATGCTATGTCGATTCATAGCTGCCGTAACCGGGAAGTCCTGACGCCGGAAGGCCGACCGCTGTCATCTGCATGGCAGGTGCCTGCATGGCAGTAGAGAATGCGTCGGGCTATATCGCATTTAGCGGCGAAACGGCCGTCTGGTGCTTTTCCGGACAGCTGGTCGACATATCTGAATTGTCGGCTGATTGCGACGAACAAAAATACTCACCAAAATCCTTCCATTCATAAGTAAGGTATAGCTTGCTCGCTCACACTCGGAGTGAAACTGGCATTCAAAGAAGCCCACAACTTATTGGAATGAAGGAAAGTAGATGTTACATCATATTATTTGGCAACGCTGGGCCAAACGTATCCGGAATACGACTAAACTACAACCTCATTTGGGTCTTTTCGAAATATCTGCGTCTCAACATTTGGAGTAATACTACCAAGAATGGCATCGTCTACAACACTGCAACCAACTGGGCTGGATGGAAAAGAATGCCTTTCTATAGACGCGGAGAGGAAGAAGGATATCATGACTTCTCACAAAACAGTCGGAAACATGGAGAAACTTTGAGAGTGATAAAAGAACCGACCAAATACGCATCAAAAGCAAGCACTTAAAAACTCCTAGGGGTGAAAACTGTAACCACAAAAGTAAAGGTATCAAAAGTGACGTCCGTCCGTAGACTTACTGTGATGAAACCATGGAACAATGGTATACTACGGCTAACAAGCTAAGGTTTGACAAGTCCCATAAGATGGTTTGTGTTAATTACCTAAGATCATCAAAAAAGTCACACGGAAGTGAAACACGCAGCTGTGTACTCACCATACTATCCAAAGGAACACATAAGTAATCCGCCTACCCCGATTTCATAGGGGTCACTGACTACAATATTTCGCTATGTCATGTCGACACTCAACTAACAGAAATCAAAACAAGTAATGTGCGTGCGGTGTAATGCATCTTCGAGTCGTTGTTTTAATGGGTAACGTGGGCGCAGAAACGACAAATGTCGAAAGAGAATTCCTAGGCTGACAAATTCGAATGAAAAATAATTCCGGTGGCATTCCAGGCGACTGTATTGGGTGGCCAGTTTCAGATAGTGACCTCTCAATTTTGTGTTGCGGCCAAGTTTCAGGAGGTGGCGATAAGCGTGACGGAGGTTTTTCGAGATCTGGTACACCAGAATGCATTTGCCCCGTAGACGGCGATAAATTCTCTGTACGCACCCAGGGATTTCAGTCACAGATTGCATGGCAACAGGAATATTTTCTTTACATTTCTGGTTACCCTTCACTGTGCGCTCTCCAGTACAACCAGGTCGAGTTTTAACCAGGGCTGTCATGCCCGAATCTTGTACTCTACATGGGGCTTCACATATCCATCGTGCATTTGGGGTAAGATGGAGTGGTTGAGTTGCCCAACGCCTACTGTAAGAGGTCAACATGTAAGTTCACTGTTTTGGATGTCTTCAACGGGTGTACCCAACAGCTGAGGTTGTCTGACATCACCACTCCAAGGTTGCGCTCCTGCGGTTTTCGACATGTGATCTCCAAGTTCATTTGCGTACGTGAGCCTGTGGCGCACAGGTACAGCTTCAAGCTTTTCTGCGCTAAACAGAAGTAGATTTCCCTTTGACCATTAACATAGCCCAAGAACCTGGATTAGCTCATGTAAGTATGGTCGAGTAAAGCCATGAATAGACTTTATGCAACCATGAAGGATGAATATTTAGTCAGTGAGACAGTACATCATAAAGTTACCTCTTGAGTTCGCGAAACGCAGAAGCCGAGGGAGGGGAAGTAGTAGGATAGTTCCATTGTCAGCATACACGAGGAGAGGAAAAGTTTCGACAGCGTTCCAACGGGCTATATTGTGTGGTCAAATTTAAGTGATGGCCTCTCAGCGAAATTTGGTGGTTGAGTTTGAATAAGGGACGATATACGAGCTTAGGATCTTTTGGCATCGGATACGATAATTTAGGTTCACTTCGCAGCCGAAGATATTGCGCACCGTAAAGTCCTGGTTTGGCTTTTGCTTTTTTTCATGGTTAACGAATTCCTCCAAGGCGACATCGGGGCTCGATCAACTAGGATCGATCAATGGGTGTCCTTGGTAGGGTCGGATAGCATTATGTGGTATACCAATAGGGCTTCTTCGAGGTACTCATTAAAGCGTAACGGACGCAGCAGAAAGGCAGTGTTGCATGATCACTGCGCTCCGAGGGGCTACTCACTGTTAATGTGCCTAGTATAAGTTCCTCATTAGTATACACGTGGTCCATAATTATCTGTTTGTTCCCCGTTCTGAATTTTGTGGATTAACTCACGTGATTAAGAGGTAGTGGGCTAGCGTCTATCCCCTGCAGCTAGGCATTGAATTCTGCATTGAGGAAAACTGTGACATCTAGAGCTTGCAAGTGGAAGTCCACCAGGTGGATATCTTTGCTGTACGACGGTACCAGAACGGCCTTCTTAGCAGAATCCCGACGACTGCCCATTTCCAAAGTGTACATCAGGGCGCTATACGACGGCAAGTAAATATTGTCATCATGCCATAGTTCCAGGCAAAACCAAAGCGAGTCAAGGAGTTGTAACTCTGGATCACCAACGCGTTAGGAGTTAATCATTGCGATGGTACAAACTCACCAGCACTCCTACTTAATTGAACTTTAGGTACGACGCATATACCTAGTAAGGCAATCTCGGCCCCAGTGACTTCGGCGCTTAGTCACATCTCAGTTACCATAACGAGATACACTTAACTTGCAGCCTGGCGAACTTGGATTTGTTATTTTGTGAAGAGGCTTTGTGCATTAATACACAAGGAACTTAGAACCTAGTCCAAGGGTGCAGGTTTCAGACGTGGGCTTATTTCAACCGTTGTGAGATCGACAACTATTTGATTTTTGTGAACTGCTGTCGTTGAAATTTGGGTGACTTCATTATGATGAACAGAAGATTCAAAGGATTAGGCTCCCGTTCCAAAGAGTGAATGATGGACTGTTGGCCTTTTGGTTTTTAGTCGTGTCTCACAGTATCCGCTTGAAAAGTAATATTTATTAGGGTCGCTCAGAAGTTCCGTTGACTTTGTGCTCCCTCAGTCAATTTTGGTCTATTACTGAAAGGGTTAAAACGTAAGTCGGATGGTAGCCTATCGCCATGCGTATGTCACTCTTCAAGAGCTTCTTCTGTTATGCGTTTGAGCAGAAAACAAAGTTCATCACACTTGGCACGTACCCTTTATTGTTGGACGGTAACGGTGGTCTTAAGATCCAGTTGGCAATCACTTCGCTAAGTGAGGATGCCTCAAGGAGGTAGTGCAACTCCTTCCATTCATGTGCTTGAGCGTCCGATACATCAGAAGCCTTTCAAAGCCGAGACATTCCTCATCCTCATCATCATCATCATCATCATTATACATGTCAGCTAGAGATGGTAAAACACCTCCGCTATTGTACCGCAATACATAAAGGAAATACATACATACATACATACAATACATAAAGGAAAAATAAATACGACAGTTGAATGCCAGCTGAGCTACCAGCAACGGATAGGCATCGTTCCGGTAAGCTACCAGCCGGCTACTAGGCAAAAAGAAAAATTATTATGTTTTACGCTATGAGATAAGATCGTAGGTGGAGGGGGAGGCTAAAG